CTCTCCAATTTGAAGTTTTATTGTCAGCCGACATCAAACGATATCTTATTAAACTACTGGCAGCAACTCCAACATTTTTGAAACTTTCAATTTTGAATCGTGACTGGCGACAATTATGTCTCGAGCAGGCGGCCCGTTGGTCGAGGACTGGTCTTGCCGTCGATATCGCTCGGTTCTTTCGCGACAACGTTGGGTTTTAAACATTATTTCTCACTTTCCGTACCATGGTCGTTTACTTCAGAATCCATTCTTACGCATTTTCGTAGAGGAGGATTATAGTGGACCTGCTAAAGCGTTCCACGACGATGTTCGCAAGCTGGTACGGATGCTGGTCAAAGTTGCTGAATTTAACCCGAACAAGGCTAGTTGTTGCAATCTCAAGCTAGGTATGTTTTCACTCGGTAATTATTTTCCCTTCTTTCTCCGTTCCTATTGTTTTTTAACCAATAAGTTGTTTTTCACATATCTCAACATCAGTTATCTATCAAGTACGGGTTATCAATTGTAAATTGATTGAATACCTTCATTCAGAGAACTTCACTCCAAAAGCACTGGGTTGGCTCCACTCCTATTCTGAAGATCAGCTTCCCACTTGCCCTCTGAACTTGCGGGAGAAAATTCGAGACCTCTTCTTACTTCATTTCAACGGGTGCGCTAATTTAGTCCTTTGCAGACTTGAAAATCTAAATTTCACGGAATCTTATAATTATTAGGCGTGCTAGCCACCTATGCTCATGAGAAACTCAGCCTTCTCACACTTCTGTAAACATGTTTTCTTTCGATTTAAAGGAGTAGGAAGGGGTTTCCTTTAAAATGATCTTGATTTTGTTATAAAATATTTTCATATGTATATGTCAAACGGATTGCAAGCATTTATATTTTTTCCAAAATTACCTCTTCAACTGAATATCCGTTTCCCATTGCATTCTAACTTTGCAGGACGTCGAAGTATATCTACTGCGAACCATTTTTTGATTCGGCCATATTTATAAATACTGTATATCACGCTCAAGATAAGGTTACTTCGCTGAACCTAGGAGATTTGAAGGTTTCTTTTCTTTCTCGTTCCAACTTTTTTTTTCTATGGAAAGAACTGCTTAGGGAGCTGAAAAGATACTGCAGTGCACATTTCCAAATCTTGAGGAACTTGTGTGGCATAGCGCTGATATGGAAGAACTAGTGGTAAGGCGATTCTGTTCTTTTTATGTTCGATTTCCAAGCAGATTTCAAAAAAGTTCTTTTTGAGTTTGTCATCTTCCTTTCTTAGAGTCTAAGCTTCCCCAAGTTGTCCTTACTGTCGCTAACAGCTGAGGCGTCGTCGATGCTTGGCTTCAAAATGCTGAGGAGATGTCCCAGTCTCAAGTACCTTTACACTGGATTAAGAGTTCCGGATAATCCGTGGGTTATTCTGAGCATGTCAAAGAGCTACTCATTTTTGAGCTGTTGTTCAATTGTAGCACAAGATTTGATCTCGACGTTTTGTTGCGATGTTACCAGTCGTTTTGGAATTCATCGTCATTGATTGAGGAGGAAGAGGATGAAGATGATGGTGATGGAGACAGGAAAGCTGATTATATGTTATCCCTGCTACCGAAACTGAATTATATTGGATTCTGGAATGCGCCAGAGAAGGTAAGTTTCTTCGTTAATGAGACTATCCGAATTATCTTTCCCCTTGTTTCATTTTGAGATTAGTATATCGTTTATCGTTTACATCGTATCTTGCGAGATAATGACTTATCACTTTTAATATTTAACTTAGCTTAACTGTTCATCATACAATCCTGAGAGTTAATAAGTGTTACAATAATGAGTTACTATCATACCTCTCTGAACTAGGAGTAAATCACCTTATCTGTAATTCAGTCTACTGTCCAAAACTGTCGATAACTGATGCCTTATTATTGAAGAAAAGATATCTTGCAAATTTTACGATGGGCATTTGTTGTTATGTTACCTTCTTAGGTGTTCGCCATAATGGCTCGATGCAATATAAGCTTTGAGACTTTGCAGTTCGGGCAGTTGAATCAGAATCTAACTCGACTTTGTTCGTTGGATTCGATTATGCAGGTGAAGCACATTTTAAAGTCGTAATCGCCATGAGTCTCTTATCACTCCGTCTCAGGCTTTATTCAAGTTCAACCAGCCAAAGTACGACTGTTACAAGCTCAGCGTCAATCACTTGAGGGTAATTCTAATTTTCCTTTAGCCTCATAATCTTGAGATTGCTCAATTGCAGATGTATCTACACGCTATGCCGGTCGTCTCTTTAGATTACTATCTACCTCAGTTGATGATGGGTATCAATGATGTGAGTTCAGTTTTTAGTTTTATTGATTTTGAGACAGTTGTCAATAAAATTTCTCAAAATGAGTTTTCTATGATTTAGGCTTTGTGCTCAATTCATAGTCTCGATTTATTCATACATTGCTCGTTCTCGGCTACAATGCCATCATCTTGGGTGTTAGATGGCCGATTTAAGAACTCTCGATCGAAGCTGAAACAACTCACCCATGTCTCTCTTCACATAGATGGATATTGTGTGGTAGGTTACCTACAAATCAAAGTCGTTTCTACAGCATTCATGTATTATTGCAGTTTGATGATCTCGACTGTCACCTACCTCCTTGCCTAACTTGCATCTCGATTTCTATATCTTTACCTACTATTGGAGCATCAAAATCAGTCGCTTCACTACTAGGATTCTTGAAGCGTTTATCCAACGTGAATTCTTATCCTGAGCTTGAAGAGCTACATCTACAGGTAAGGCATTTGTAAGAAAATTTCGCGTTTTATACAATCTTCATAATCATTTACCTAGTTGCGGGTAAACTTCCCCCAACACAAATATTATGTATATTTAACAGCAAATTTCTAGGTGTAGAAAAGGCTGTCAGTTAAATTGAATTAGAGCGAGAAGTTGGAGGAAATTTTTTAGGAAGCTGGTGGAAATCTGGCTGTAATAAAGACGCTTTGTAGTTTTTGATATTCTTTCCTTTCTTCGCATTCGGAAAATTTTATAAGAATACTGCTGCGACTTCTCAAAAAAAAAA